TTCGGATATTGAAGGTCTATGGAGATTCGAAAATATATTCTTATTTTATAAGATATAATTAAATTATCAATTTTAAATTGAGAGTAATCAAGCAAAAATAGCAAAATGTTTAAAAATAAAATTTTTTAAAGTAATTCGTTAATTTCAATTATTTTACACAAATTACAACATTAATTTGTTCGGAGAACACAAAATAATTCCTATATTAAATAGTTTTAACAAACAAATTAAATAAAATTTTTTTTTATTTTTCCCGTTAAAACTATGTATTTTTATTTAAACTTGTAGTGAATTAAATGCTAAAATTTTTAACACATTAAAAATTTTATATTTATTAAAGAAATGTTTTTATTGAAAATTATTTTAATGATAAGAATGTTTTTCTTCAGGAAACATTCTTTCACGTACCTCTTTAACGTAAGAAATAAAAGCATTTTGAATAGAATTTTGATCCTTTAAAAAATTTTTGACAAATTTTGGAGGTTTGTCTCCAATTCCAAGAAGATCATAAACCTAAGAAAAATTGGTATATTGTGGTATATCACTGCATTATTCTTTTTCCTTCTCCAAAAAAGTATAGATGCGTCAAAGTGAATTATGTATATTGTCAGTCACCAGCTTTTGCATTTAGTATCAATGCAAATCTGTTCGCAATATTCCCATGCATCTTTTGTGTGAATTGTTAGCCCTACTTACCCGCATAAGATTATTAACAGTACATATGTAAATTTTACCTACATACGGATTATTTTTTTGAGAAAGAAGGAGAAGAATAAAATGAGTGAGATGGCACAATAGCAAAATTATTTAAATAAAAAATAATTTAAAAATATTTACAACAAGAATCTGTCCATCACAATGAATACCAGCACCAATTCCAATTGTTGGAACTTTTAAGGAATCTGTGATTTGTTTTGCCAAATCTTTAGGAACACATTCAAGAACAACAGCAGCTGCTCCACATTTTTCTACCTGAATAGCCAATTCTAATAATTCTTCTGCAGTTCTTTTGGATTTTGAATTTCCTTGAACTTGATAACCACCTTAAATTAAATAAATATTGTAAGGCATATCCAAATATTTAGAATCATACAATAAATATTTATAATTATAAAATACAATTTGCAATGTAACTTTTATTATTCTTTGATATAATACATATGTTCCAACTACATATATTAATCCATTTCTAACCTTACATTCAATCGGTTGTGCAATGCCTAGATTTTATCCTTTTTTCCTAGATCCATAAACTTTATACGGTAGACTACTTGTTATTTTATTTATTATTCCCCCTTATCTTGATTACATTAATATTTTTAATTGGATCACGGATTTATTATTTCCTGAGTATTTGACTTAATTAAAAGAATTAAATAATATGTATGTATAACCGAGTGAATGTACAGATTGTGGAGTTAATCCGATATGTGCAAAAACAGGAATAGACAAAGAATTAAGTTCTCTTAGCATTTTTAAATGTAAATCAGAATTCGAAGGTATTTCTAATTTAACTGCTGTTGCCCCAGCGTTAGTAAGTAAAGAAACAGATGATTCAATGACTTTTTCAACACTATAAGAACACTAAAATATTTATTTTATTTCTTAGTTACATAATAAAAATGCGCAACGAACGTTGATAATTCAACGTTCGGTGTCTGCAACATTTTTTTCGCAAATTTGGGGTCCAATGTACGGGTCTGCAAAACTATAGTCCACAAAACAGGACATGAATAAAAAAAACTTACAGAAAAAGGCAAATCAGCAACTAATAAAGCTCTTTTAATTCCTTTTGAGACAATTTTTGTGTGATATATAATATTTTCAAGACTAACGGATAAAGTATTTTGTTTTCCTTGTATAACACAACCAAGTGAATCTCCGATTAAGATAACATCAACTCCTGCCTGATCCATCTATTTATTTAATATTTAAAAAATGATAAATACTTATAATAGGATTAAAAATTGAAAGCTTTAAAATACGAAAAGTACTAAAATATTTTAAAAAATAATATAGTGAACTAATTTTATTAAATAATAATGCCATATACACAAGGGATGTCACGGGTTTAGAAAAGGTTGGGTTATTAAAATTTACTTCAAATCAGTAATAAATTCAAAAAATGTCCGAGTTTTTTAAGCGGGGAAAATTGGATCGGTTTCGCACTTTGGAAGATTCCTCGGATCGGGTCTCGTTCGAAAAAAAGTTTGGGTTTTGGGTAATGACATTCCAGATATACATAAATGAAAATATTTTTATTTAATTTAATTTTTCTAAGTTTAGGAAATTTTTATAACATGTAGAAATGGGTAATTATGGCCACAATATTTTTAAAATAATTAATTAAATTTACTTCTTTTCCCATTGAATAATCATAAGCAGTTAATGAAACAATAGGAATACCTTCCTTCTTCATTTGATGTAGCTTTGGTATTGTTATTAATTTTGGAATATTTGAATTATTTTTATAAAGTGATATATCATTACCATTCGACATTTTTATAAGAATTTATTTTTAAAGGAAAAAATTAGTAAATAAAGAAATTCATTCGCTAAAAGATTATTTAAGGTCAGCTAATTTTTAATAAGTAAATAAATTTTAAGTAAATAAAACTCACTCCACTTTATGTTTATAATAAATAATTCATACCACTATCAGATAAATACTTTTTGGTCGAGAGTTTTCTTAAGATAAGACGAGAAAACTCCTATTTTGTGAGGGATTTCCCTATCACAAATAGCAAAGTACAAAAACCACCTAAAATGTTCTGACGTTGAATGTTTCCCTATGTTATCTTCAAATGTTTTAGGCGATAAATAAATTTTTTAAAATTAAATTTCTCATATGATGATAGAAAAACTTGCAGTAAAAACAAATTTGAAATACTGCATACTTATTTTTAATTAAAAGATAGATCAGACTTGAATGAAGTGCCTGGTGAAGTGCCTGCTTAATTTTTAAGGTGCCTCGGAATGGTCAATTTTCATTTATATGTATTTGTTATTTGGTGTAAGGCAATGTGTAAAAAATTTATCATTTCTTTGTAGATTTTGTTTGTGCTTTGCTTTGATTGTGCTTTGCTATGCTTTAAGTTTGCTTTGCTTTACTTGAGGCAAACTCTTACTCATAACACTTACTCATATTTAAAAAAAAAGATAAAAGTTAAAATTTGTTTATGTTTATTTGAAATTTGATAATATCAGCGAATGGTTTATAAATATAAAGAGGTGTGTCTTCTATAAAATTTCCACCCCTAACCCCAAATTTCTACTTAATTTATGACTAATGTTTTAATTACATAGAAATAAGATGTATTTTATTGTTTATTGAATAAATACATTATTTGTTCTATATAGGTATTATGATAACAAAATTCTTTAAAAAATTAAATTATTCAAAGATAAGATATTGGAAGTACGCTATAAAATATATATTTATATAGCAGTCGAAATTAATTTGTCCGTCCAAATTAAATTTATTTTAAAAATTAATTTTTCTTAGTGCTTCAAAGTTGCTATTGGGTTAGATAACGGTTACATAACTTTTTTTAACATAACTATAAATTTTGAGCTACATATGTATAGCCACTTTTTAAAATTCTTCAGAAAACATAACTTTCAGGAATCTATCAGATAGGTAATGACTGGTTCCATACCATGTGAGTATAGTTTCCGAACACCGAGAACTCTTACAGAACCAAATTCAAACTTTAGATAATTATTAACTTTAAAAAATTTCCTTTAATTAAAGAAAAATATTTTCTACTAATTTTTAATTTAATGATGATCGCTGCTATTCTTTTTACATTTTTTGTTATAAATAATGTTTTGTTGGAAAACTATACCGAAGGAAAAATTACTTTTACTGACAGTAATAATATTAGTGAAAGTTTATAAATTAATGATATTATTATAGAAACAAAATTACCAAAAATAGGAAAGCTTGTTGAAAATATTAAACATGAAAAAGCGACGGAAGTATTACGCCTTTCTGGAGAGGTATTTCTATTTTTCTAATTAAAAAAATTCTTTTAGCTTTACCCAATTTGGTATAATTTAACGATGCAAATTTATGTTCCCGGTTTTGATGCACAAATGTCTGACGCAAACAATCTTACATTTGACGCTAATTTACTTATGAAATTTCGAGTTGAAAAAAATACAGATAGAATAGAATTAAATGCTTTAAAACTTATTTTTGATCATCAAAATCTTGAAAAATATAAATTAATTAGAGTAAAAGAAGTAAATAATGAAATTAAATCAAAACCATTAAAAGTTATTAGAATTAGAATAGATGAAGATAACGAAAAGGTAATTTAATTACGTATATATTTCGACTGCAAATTTTAGCTTCTGTAAAGCTTAATTTTAATGATAGATACATCACGTTGTCTTCTGTCATACATCATTTGTTTTTTTCTAATTTTTTAATTTAAAATTTGACTTAAATTAATAGTTATAGTCTATTGATATATACCGTAAATGATCTTATATACGCCCGGCCCTACAACAAAAGAAACCCATCGAAAATATAAGCCCAATGCTTGTATTAGAGCATTTACGTTGTACATTTTTTTAAATTTTAAATTTAATTTTTAAAAAATTCTTTTTATTAGGTCTTTTTTGAGTTAAATGGAATTTTGGAGAGAGGAGAACACTTCCTTTTTCATGTAATATTAATAATATTTGAAAAAATTTTTTAAATTAGTATTTGTTTGTACCTAGCTTTAAACATATTTCCCATTTAATATTCAAAAAATCGAAAAAAATTTAAGCAGATCTCTAACCTAGGAGATTTACTTTAGAACTATAATTCTTACATAGATTCAATATTCTGGACCAATTTCCACAAAACTCTCTGGTCTATTTCTAACAACATATACAACATTCTCTGGTGAGTATAGATTTGCAGCTGTTACACATATGGAATCTATTGATGCTAGAAGAATGGTTTGTATAATATAATCTGGTGTAATTGTTAAAATTTAGATACCTTGTCTAGATGAACCACATTTTAAAGCTATATATCGACTCACTATTATTCATCCGTCTGGTTCTAAAGCTATTAGTAATTCAAAAGAACTTCGAAATGGAGTACCAACGTAATTAAATATATTTACATTATTATTTGATTACCTAACATAATACAGTAGTGGAGTATTATGTTAGGAATTTTGTTAGGAGTGTCGAAGCACTGTGTCTCATTTGAGAAAGATTGTTTATTTTCAAATTTAGTAAATTTATATAGAGACAATAAAGAATGGATTCAAAATGATTTTGATGAGACACCTCCAATGTCTTCATATTTGTTAGCCTTAGTAGTCTCTGATTTTAATTATATTGAAGGATATACAAAACGTGGAATACGAGTTTATTAATATTGTTTTTCAAAAATGATAATATTTTTAGTTTCGTGTATGGGCACGTCAAGATGCTTTAACTTTTACTAATTATGCTTTAGAATCTGGAATTAAAGTTTTGGAATTTTATGAAGATTACTTTGGAATTGAGTTTCCAATTCCTAAATTGGATATGGTTGCAGTTCCTGATGCGGGTGCTGGAGGAACAGAAAATTGGGGATTGGTATTAATAATTCTTTATAATTTATTTTTATAATAATAATATATAGAGTTAATTTTTGACTCCAATAATTAGAGCTTTGATTTTTATGCAAATGCATATTTTTTTGCAAACTTGGCATCATGTATAAAGCACAAAAAACACTGTTTTAGCTTGTTTTGAAAACTTCAGAGGGGGTTTCTATTTGCATATAATGCATATTTTTGTATATTTCAGACTTTGCTGCATAATGCATATTTTGCTGCATATTTTGAGGTTTTTGGGGAAAATATTGCAAAATTGCCTAAAATCCTGCCAAAAAGTGAAAATTTTGTAGAAATTTTGGAAAAATTTTGTAAAATTAAGAATTTTGTAAAATTTTTTTGTTTTTTGGACGAGACCCAAAAATGTCCAACCCCAAAATGTCACACCGCAAAACGCCTCATCTAAAAATGTCCAACAGAGTAAAAATACTCAATTTGTTGAACAAAACATATAAACTTGTAGTAATCTTAATAAAAAATTGTATTTTTCATGCATATTTGCCCGGATATTTTGGGTTTCTTGCATATTTTCGTGCATATTTCGGCAATTTTTTATGCATATTATAGTGCATATTTTGCATTTTTTAATGCATAAAATCCATAGCTCTACCAATAATATATGAAATCAAAATTTTTCTAGAAAATCATATACAATTTCAGGTCACATATCTTGAAAAATATCTTCTCTATAGCCCAGAATTATGTACTATTCAGCAAAAATTGCTTGTTACTTCAATTATTGCACATGAATTAGCTCATCAATGGTTTGGCAATTTAGTTACGATGAGTTGGTGGAATGATTTATTTCTTAACGAAGGATTCGCTTCTTTGATTGTAAATTTTATATTTTAAATTTAGAATAGAATTTTCTAAGGAATATTTGGGTACAGATGCAATCAGCAATGGAAAATTTCAAATGAGGGATTATTTCATTATTAGATATTTGGACACTGCTTTTGATGCTGATTCTAAGGCAACTTCTCATCCGATAATCCTTGAGATACGAACGAAAGATGATTTTACTAAAGTTTTTGATTCGATAACATACCAGAAAGGAGCAAGTATATTAAGAATGATAGGTGCTGTGATGGGTGAACAAAGCTTTAAAAGCGGTCTAAAAGTAAATAGTAATTATACAAAAAACATTTTTTCAACTGGATTTTAAGAAATTAATATAATTAAGAAAGAATCTGGCAGTTAAAAAGAGATCTCCCAGTCAAAATTAAATTGTACTGGTTTAGATTTGGGATTTGGATATATTAAATTCATTTATATCCATGATATCCCTTCAAATCACTTATATCATAAAATCGATAAGGGACTATTGAAATTTAGTCATCTTACATTATCATATACGATACTTTGTGGAAAAATGACATAGAAAACCTGCTTAATTGATATAACTGCTAAATACATATTTTAATAAAAAAATTATGTAGATATACCTAAATCAATTTAAATATCAAAATGCTAACCATACTGATCTTTGGAACGCCTTAACAGAAGCAGTTCCTAAAAATCTGCATGATGGTAACGGACAACCTTTAAATGTTAAATATTTTGCTAAATATTGGACTGAACAATCAGGTTTTCCTGTTGTAGAGGCAAATTTTTAAATTAAAAAAATTCTATATTTAAAAATTATTTATTTTAGGTAAAAAGAATATCTCCAAAAAAAGTTTTGTTAACTCAACAACGCTTTCGATTTAACTCAGAGGATAATAATAATAAGAAAAATGAAATAGGAGAATACGAAAAAGTTAATAATTGGGATATTCCAATTTGGTTGAGTATTAATGGTACCGATCAACCCATGTTTTGGTTAAAAGATTTTACCGAAATGGAAACAATTGTTGATGATCTACTTGTTTTAAATCCCCATTCACAAGGATTTTATAGAGTTTTATATTCTTCTGATCAAATGAAACAAATTAGTCAGCAATTATTTGATAATCATAAAGTAATTTTTGTAAATTATATATTTATTTATGATTAAAAAAGGAACTTTTAATGGCTAGCCGTGTACGTATTATTGATGATTCATTTAAATTAGCTGAAAGTGGATATTTACCTTATGAAGTATGTAATAAAATTTTTATTCTAAAAAATAACGTTTAAAAGGATGCATTAAATTTAACTCAATATTTAACTAAAGAAGAAGAATATCCTCCTTGGGAAATAGCATTATCTAATTTTAATGTAATACAAAATTATTTTGACGATGAACCTGAAACTGAAGATTTAAGGGTTTGTATTTTTATAATAGAGACCGGACTGTGGAACTAAAATTGCTGGTTCGATCACAGGCGCCGAATTAGTAGAATAGCTAGCCCAGTTCAGAGGTCTAGTTGAAAGAATTCGGTAATTTCTGATCCCGAAAACTGGAGGTTAATTTTTTATGACGGCGCGATCCCAACCGTATATTTTGTATATTGTTTCGACCTTCAGCTGGCTGGAGTAATTAATCGATGGAGGGTAATTACCTATACAAGGCTTAAAATTTGATGGTTATTTAGAGCATTTGATGGGCGGCAATTATTGTTTGAACCTATCGCTGGAGAGGGTAACAAATAAAAGTGGAGTAATTGTGGGGTCGCTTTAGTATAGGTCCACCAAAAAATTTTTCTTTCTATGAAAAGAAAAATCTTTTAATTAAAAAAATTATTTTTTAATTATTTTTCATTTAATACACTATTTAATTAAAAAAAAATTTTTTTCAAATATATTCATAAATTTAGGCTTATATTAAATTATTAATTGATGATATATTTAATCGAGAATTGGATAAAATTTATAATTGGAAACCAGAAGATGGAGATAAAGACTTTTTTAATAAGTATGTACAATAAACAAATAAAATATATAATTTATCAATTAAAAGTTTACTTAATCAACGAATTATTCAAGAGATGTGTAATTTAAGAGACCAACGTTGTATTAATGCTATTCTCAATATTTATCAACATCAATTAGTTAATTCTTGTAATTCATTTGTTGCAAATGAAGAAAATGACAATAATGCATTGTAAATTAATATTATAAAATATAACTTTCCTCGGAATTATTTAAGTTACTACATATTTATAAAAATAAATAAAAATTATCCCCAGATAAATAATCAGAATAATTAATCCAAATAAATCGAATAGAAACAGTTAAAGACAATTAACTTTCATTCGCTCAAATATCACATCCAGGCATATAAAAAATAAAAAAAATTCTTTAAAAAATTTTAAAAAATATCATATTTTTAATATTTTAAAATTCATCATTTGACAAATATTAATATAAAGAAATTATTAATTATTAAATAATTATTATAAATTAAGAATTATAATTTTTATTTAAATTAGAAGTATATTAAAATATGTATATATGTACTACTTTTATTTTTAGATTATATTCTCATCCAAAATTTCCAAATAAAATGGCTAGTCAATGTTCTAAAGTTCCTGTACCCTTTAGAACGTTAATATATTGTGAAGGTGTACATTATGGAACAGAAAAAGATTGGGATTTAATTTTTGAATTATTTAAAAATGAAAATGTTCAAGTAGAAAAAGAACGTTTGCTTAATGCATTGACTTGTTCTAGAGATACACATTCATTAAAAATGTAAAAAAAATTATTAAATTATTTTTTTAAATACTATTTAAACGTCAATCAAAAAATTAATTTTTTAAGGCTTCTTACAATGGCAATTGATGTTAATAATACAAATATTCGTTTACAAGATAAACCTCTTGTTTTTAAATATATTGGAAATAGTATTATTGGGAAAAAAATTATTTTGGATTTTTTTATTGATAAATGGCCAAAAATTTATCAAGGGTATGAAATAATTTTTAAATAATTTTTGATAGAATATATTACTTGTCCTCATATGTCCGCAAATTTTTATAGTTTCCTAGTTTGTTCTCGCATACAGATAAAAATAGTCAAGGATAATTAGATTATCAATGATAAAGGTTTCAAACCGAACCGAAAAACTCAAGATTTTCGGTTCGGTTTGTCAGTTCGTTTTCGGTTAACGAATTTAATGAAACCGACAACCTACATAGGTATACCCATCATATTTTATCTAAAAAAATATGCCAAAACATTTTTTAAAGTTTCAAAGATGAGCCATTCTTATTATCTAAAATTATTTCTTCATCAATTGTTGGCAAATCTCAAAGAGTTATTGACCAAGTAGAGAACTTTCTTCGTGAAAATGGTAAAACTACAATGTAATTTAACAAAAAATATTAGAATATTATTCTTAATTTTTGAAGGAATTTGGATGTTTTTAAACAACGTTTAGAAGTTATTCAAACAAATATACAATGGATACAAAAAAATTTTAATAGATTGTCTCAATGGTTTAAGTAATTAAAAAATTAAAATAATTTTTTAAAAATTAATAAAATATAGAAAACATAACGGCAATAATGGAAAAATTCCATCATTTAAATGAGATAAAAAAAAGAACAAAGAAGTCGCCGTCAAATTTCGACATTTTAAATATTATAATAACATACTTTAACAATGATAGTGAATAAAAAAATTAAGTTAATAATTCACGCGTCCTTGAAAATTTTTAAATGTTTTATTACAGATAAACTTTATTAAATTTTGGAGAAACAAAAACAAAAATTATTTGCGTTAAATTTTGGCATTGCGTTGCGTTTTGCATTTTTTGAGATTGTCTCTTGCGCTCACCACTGGATAACATAAATAAATAGCGACGAGAATTAATTTTCATATTCCTTTTAAGTTTCATTTAAGAAAAATTTTTTTATATTTATGAAAAAAATTTTTACACAGGAAAATTTTTATAAACTTTCCTGTTCAAAACTAAATATCTATAAATAAATTGCACACCAGGGATGTCACGGGTTACCCGAAACCCGAAACCCGGTCTTTTTTTCGACCCGATACCCGATCCGAGAAATTTTCTAAAACCCGACCCGAAACCCGACCCGAGTTTTCTCAAAATTTTCGCCCGCGTCGCAGAAAAAGGGAAGATTTTTAGCTTAATGATCTTCCAAAATTCTGAAAATTTTCGCCTGCGGCGCTGAAAAAGGAAGAAATCTGGCTTCGGACCTTCAAGAATTCTCAAAATTTTCGCCTGCGGCGCTGAGAAGGGAAGATTTTTGGCTTTTTGGCCTTCCAAAATTCTCAAAATTTTGGCTTTTTTCGACCCGAAACCCGATCCGAAGAAAATTTTGAAAACCCGATCCGAAACCCGACCCGACTTTTTGCTCAACCCGAAACCCGATCCGAGAAAAATTTTGGAAACCCGACCCGAAACCCGACCCGACATTTTTCTCAACCCGTGACATCCCTGTTGCACATGTTCATGTAAACTTATGTTCCAATGAAAATCGAAATTATACATAAGAAAAATTCGAAAATCGGAAATCAAAATAGCATAAATTAATATTATCTAAAGTTAAATTTTTTTTTAAATTCAAAAATGAATTTAAAAATTATCACTTCCAATTATTTTTTTAATGTTTATCATTACCAAAACATTTGCCATTTTTGAGAAAATGTGTGCAACATTGTTCTCTTTTCTCCGCTTTCTCTTCAAATAAAAAATTGTTAAAAATTTAAATGTCAAATTACAAATATTATTTTTAAAGGAATAAAGCTCGAATTGAATAAAATAAATAATAAAAAGTTTAAATAATTTTTTACAAACCCCCATTTCTAACACAACAGGTATAAGGATCACAAGGTAAACCAAATGTGCAGCATTGTAATTTAGAGTTAAAATGACTCCTAGTGCAGCATTGTAGTCCTCCTCCTAGTGCACATCCTTTAAATTAAAAAAATTCACGATTTATTTTGTTCATATCTTTAAAACCAATAAACGTTAGTTACACATGGCTATAGATGAGGGCTACACCCCGAATGCTAGGGGCGGGTAGGTCGGGATATTTTTAAATAAAACTTATAATAGAATATCTAACATTATCTCCTCAAATATTTATCAAGGATAATTATTGTTTCAACTATTCTCTGTAGGGGAAGTGAGGTTTAAGTGAGGGTAATTATTCGAGAATAGCACTGCCGTGGAGTAGTGATTAATACACATGACTTCACTTTATGGAAGACCCGGGTCTTGAGCAGTGCTGGACGCAATTGAAAAAAAAGTAAGTCAAAACTCAATTCGCAGTCCGCAATCGCGTCATGCCCTGGTCTTGACTTAATTATAGAAAAAATTATTTTAGCAGTTTTAATTTACCTCCACCAAGGCCTACACATCCATTATTTTCCTTAGCAAAAAATAACAAGATTGAAATAATTATCAACACTTTTGCAAGCATTTTATTTAATTATTTAATTAAAATAATTTTCAATTTTTTGAATAATAAATTTTGAATTGATTTAGTATTTTTTGAATATATTCATAAATTAAATTAATTTATGAAAATAAATAGTAAATACACACAGTTAGCATGATAATAGCACGTGCAAACTTTATTTTGTTTTGGCAAACCCATCCATAAAATAATTCATTAATCCAAAAAAGATTAGTTAAAGAGCGGAAAACAAAATACGGAAAATATTTATAAACTTTATTTATTTATCGAGATTCAATCTCGATTCTTGATAATTAAGAGGACTTAGTAGATTAAGCTAATGAGACGCCGAAAATAACAATAATACATTGAAAAAGCCAGCTTTCTTCTTGACCTAACTTTTACAAAATCCCATAGATTTATTTAATCCAATTACTCGAAACAAATTTTCAAAATTTAAATTAGAAAATTATATATTTAAATATTAAAACCAGCAAACGGTCAAATCAATTTTCCGGGGTTGTAAATCAGATTATTTTTATGAATTAATCCTGTCCGGAAAAATCCGGATCGAGGAAAAACCCGACATAGGGACCGTAATACGGAAAAGTTCGAATGGATCCGGTCCAGTGAATATCACTAATTATAGATAAAACATATGTTATTCCTCGAATATTATTTATGCCCTAAAACTTTTTCCGATCTCGATAATATTAATAAAATTTGTTTAGCTTAAAATAATATTTATATATTTTGCCATAAATCACGATGGATATTTTTCTATTAATTTAAAAAATAAAAATTAATTTTTATTATTCGTACTTGAATTGAATATTAATGAAATAGTAATTTCCGTTTTTTGGCTAAAAATAACGAGAATGCTTGTGTTTTAATTTAATTGAAAAAATTGTTTTTATAAAATATTTTTTTATTAATTTTTATTTCTTTTTAGAAAATAAAATTAAATGTAAAAATAATAAAATAAAAATCAATGAAAATTATTTTTTAAAGTTAGATGCAAATGTATTTTTTCAGAAACAGGGGATTAATTTAAAGCAGCTCGAATTTTTAAAAATCTTTATCAAAAATAGAAATGAATTAGAGCGTAATCCCCAAAAACAGAAAGTGTTAACATATGTATTTTCGTTAATTAGTAGCATCTATTGTAATAAATGTAGAAAGAAAGTGCTAAGTGTTATCTTTTAATCTTGGGGATCCAAAATATCTTTGTAAGTTTCTAAAAAATGATTAAAAATATTATCATTTAGATGATGATCACTGCTTTGACTAAGGTTGTGTCTGTTTCAGCATTTATTGTATTTATATTTATTTCGTTGTGTGGATTTTGATTTAAATAATTATTTGAATGAGTATTACTATGCATGTTTTCGTTATATTTCTGGTTATTTAGAGGAAATAATTGTTTGTTAAATTCTTGGTTATAATGTTCTTGTTGAGTGCCTCTATAATTTTGTTTTTCATTATTTGCTTATTTCAAATTTATATCTCTAATAGAGTTGGCCGGGATTGGGATCCCGGTCGGGATCGGGCGGGATTATCCCGGGTTTTTCGAATCGCGATCCCTGCCAATTTCAATCCCGAGCCGGGATCGGTATCGGAATGTGCATCAGATCCCGATGCAAATCCCGACTTTATAAATTGACTAGAAGTCTGTGAAATAAGTTAACAGAAGAGGGAAGGCATGAAAGTAAAAAAAATTTTCGCCTGCGGCGCCGCAAAAATGAACACAGCTGTATTTACATCTATATCTAAATATTGAGTGATTTGGTGTGATATCGAGGGATCAAGAGGAGTTGAGGGAAGTATCGGTGGGTTTGGAGTATAGAAGGATGCCGGTGAATTTACAGGGATTAAGTTAGATTTGAAGAGAACTCGAGGCCTTAAGAGATATTACTAATGAATAAATATATCACTTAATCCCTCAATCTCAGTTTTTAATCGTCACATTTGAACATAACGCACTTAATCGTATAAAATTGAACGTTTAGACTTGAATGCCCTTGGCCCTCAAAAATTAAAAAATATTGCCTGCGGCGCTTAAAAGGGAGGAAATCTGGCACGTTGGACTTCCAAATTTTTCAAAATTTTTGCGCTTAAAATAGAAGAGCACAATCCCAATTTTTCAATACAATCCGATTTCAGCTAATCCCGATCCCGTGTCGGGATCCGGGATTGGGATCGGGATCAGCATTCCTTTTCTCTAAATCCCGATACCGCTGAACTCTAAATTAAAACGCGGACTGGGGGGGGGGGAGGAAACAACGTACCCACGAAAGAGTTCCTATTTTGTAGAAACATTCTCCTTTGTTGTATAATTTTTCTTTTTTATTAGTTTCCAGTCTTTTGATTATATATCAATCTCGTCGAGCTGAGTCGAATGTAAAAATATATTTATAGATTTTAATAGCTATCTAGCCATTTTTATTGATTTTCCCATTCATATTCCTTTTTCAAAATCTTTAAAAATCATTATTTTTAAATTTAATAAAATATTGAGTTAATTTGTTTAACAAAGTTATGTTGTGTTCATCATTTTAAGTTTTGATTTCATTTACTACATTTTAAAAAAACAAAGGAAAGCTAACGAAAAGTCTTTTGTTTTCATTAAAACAACAATTTTTTAATATATTTCAACTTTTACCTATTTTTACATATAAATTATGATAAAATTTATTTTCATTTTACTATTTCTGTCAATGAATGAACATCAAATTTCAACTCAAAGTAAATAAGCTTTATCATATATTAGTGATGCTCGGGAGAAGAAATACTCGGGAAGCGGGAATCGGGAATTAAAAAGCAAAACAATTACAAAGTAAAAACAATCGTTCTTTTACATTTGCCCTTTTAGACGCGATCTTTTGAACTTTTCAATGGGTGTATAAATGTGCAAAAACTTGTGTAGAATATTTAGGCATTCAGTAGATGAGGCTAGTAGAGATACCTCGTATTTTTTTACGTTTAATTTAGTGGAATTGGCCCGATATCTCTTCATATTACCTCAATCAGTATTAACCAGCCCCTTATACCCCCTTATCAATCTTTCGGAAAAAGGTTAAATTTTGGAACCTGACCTATAAGCCCTGTAATAGAATTGAATGCGCTGCAAAATGAGTATAAAAGTATTAAAAAACGTAAAATAGAA